AACAAGGCAGAGCAGGGAAACTGCTGGGCCCATAATAGCTGCATCACGTAATGTCTTTCTCTCTCTCGCAGCAATAACAATAAGCTCTATTATTGTTCTGCACTTGGAGTGATGCCGCATACAAGAGCTATTGTGCAAAACACAACCCCCCCACCGCCCATGTATGCCTGCCTGTCCCACCTACATCTTCTCCTGCTGAGCCAGGAAAGAGGAAGCACGGCAGCTTCTATGAAGAGGAGCAGAAAGGAGTCAAAAGCAGACTGGCTGCAGGCCAGGCGCAGGGCACCTTAACCCTTAGCGTCCGCGCTCGTGTGCTTGCTCGGACACCCGCCGCAGGCGCAGCATCATAAAATAGTGCGGGGCCTGTGAGCATCCCTGCGTCCTTTTTGCATGCGCAGGCACATGCCGAAGGAGAGCGAGAGAGACTGTAGAGCATATGGAGCTCTGCTGGTTTGCACCGCGGGCTTGGAACCCGGGTCTTTTTGGCACTGAGCACCGCCCCGGTTGCTGAAGGCAACACAGGGCAGCTCTGATCAGCGCCGCGGTGGGAGACCACGGGATACCGCTGTGCAAAGCAGCCTGGGCTTGCTAAGGTCAGATGCGGGTGAAACGCTTTTGCCGCTTTCCGACATGAGGGCAGCTGTTGCGCTGATTAGCGAGCGCAGCAAGCCTGTGGACGGGGTCATAAACAGCTCTAGGAAAGGCCGTCCGCTGTCACCAAGACGTTTAGCAAACTGAAGCACATGACTCGACATCTTCAGACGGTGCATCCCCTCCGCCCCCTGCCAGTCCCACATTCTTGGTGCGGCAGGGGGCCAGGGGAGACCTCTGGCGCGAGAACACCACCTCCTGTTTCCCACCCTGCCCCACGGAGAGAGACGTGGGAACTGGACGGAGCACCGCTGCTTTTCGTGGCATGGTGTCATCCTGCTCCCGCCCCAGGCCAGGCTTTGCAAAGTGAGCGCTGGGGAGTTAGCCACTCACATTTAAATTTCTTTCCCATTTAATAAGAATTGGGCGTCTCAATAATCCCTTAAGCTCCTTTAACAACCTATGTGTCAAATGGGTAAGTAGAAATACAAAGCTTCTCCTGAGCTTCGTGTCAGGTGCTCTTGTTAAAACCAAAGCAGCACCGAATTTCTATAATCCTTTGGATTTTCGACTTTCCTTCTGCCCTTTAGGCTTTTGATACAAGTTGGCCGGAAGCTAACTGTGAGATTCTGCACCGCAGTTCCTGCTGGCAGGAAACTGCTTTCTGGCCACCCTCCCCCACCCCTTTGGAAGATAAGGGGCAGGCAGGATCCATACCCATAAAAACAGGGAAGGCCAGAGCGTATTGCTGGAGAGGGTGCTTGGCAACCAGAGGGAGCCCATCTTAGACTTGAACATCTCCGGCCTATTTATTTAAAACATCTCTATATCAGCCTTCAACACACGAGCCCAGAATAGTCTATGATATATCAGGAAACGTTTTAAGAACCCATGCTACAGCCAAAATAAAAGACAAGACATTAAAATAAAATCATTTACAAAGGAAGACTGAGAAGTTCTGCAGACTGAAATGCTCAGGCCACAAGATATACCTTGACATATAAATTAAGCACGGGCACGGGCCTTTAGGGAAGGCGTGCCGGTGCTGGGGTGCCACCACGAGAAAGCCCCCTCCTTTGCCATCCCCAAGCACCCAAGAGGCAGCAGCAGCTGGAGACCCTGGGAAGCCACTTCCAGTCGGGCCTGATGGGAACTAGATGGAATCCCAGGACAGGACTGGCCCGGTGCTCACTACAGATCTCATTTCAAGGATCTGGCCGTCACTTTTAAAACCTAAAAGGTTTTTGAAGGGTTCTAAGCACGGGAACTGCTTGGGGTGCCTCTTACTACCCTGCCGATGCACGAAGTCTTCTCTGGGTCTCCCCAGTGGGCGGTCTGTAGCTACGACGGGAAGAGGCTTGTCTGTGGCAGTGCCTTGACTTGGAATTTTCTTCCAAAGGAGAGCCGATTGACACTGCCTTGCAAACACTAAATTAAAATCTTCCTTTCTGCTCAGGCATTTTAACATCTTTTTTTAAAACTGACCTGCTCCGCTTTTGACGAGCTTGTGGGCTGAAGAGCTGTTGTGTTTTCAAACGTTAGATTTGCCTTTAATATGTTCTTGCTCGTACGTTTGCCGTTTTGGATTTGTGCTTTCCAGTGATGCATACATGGCCCCGGGATCCCTCAGGGATGTGGGTCAGTTGATCCATAAATGTAACCATCAAGTCCGTAATTGGCGGACCAAAATGCTGCCGCAAAACAAGGCCGCTTCGTGGGTTCACAGGCTCGCTTTGCCTGCGTGTGGACTCTCCTTTGAGTCACAGGGTCCAGCTTGCCTTTCTGCCAAAAATAATTGCTCTTCGGACGCTCTGAACTCTGCACGACCAAGAAGAATGGTCTCCGACATGCAGGCAGGGAGTTTTCAGGCAGCGAGGGAGACCTTTGAAATCATTAGGAAGAAACAGACTAAAACTCTGTCACAGGGGAGCAAGTGAATGCGAGATAGGATCCGCCACCTGCTTTAGATACACACATTAGACGAAAGTGTCCAATTCCCTCGGGGCATCAACAAACACTTGCTTTCTCCAGCGGAATAACCCTCAGCACTTTAGCGCTGACCTTTTGCATTGTCTCATACAACTCGCTCTGTCGGTGTCGAGGATTCTCCAAGGCTAATGGCTTACAATTCTTCTGGCACCATCAAGCCTTGCAGGACTGCTAAGAGATGCTGAGCTAGAAAGGAAATGTTTTCAGAGAGGCAGGGGGGACGGCGGGGAGGGAAGCGAAAGCAAAGCCTCTCCTTTGTGGAGCTCTGCTGGAGACTCAGGCAACCGGAGGTGTGTATTTACAGAAACGGGGGCTGATGGAGTTGACTCAAATGAGTTTCTCAAAGGCGAGTCGCCATGGTGTCGCCAATCAATGTCTGCTTTATTACATGCCACACATTTTAATCAGAATCGATAATCTCCATGATAAACAATTAAACAATTATTCCGCACGCTATTGAGTTTTTCTATTGAAATCAATGGGTGCTGAGAGACAGCGCCGACGGAGAGCCCCGTCTTCAGGGACCACAGGTGCCACTGCTCCCCTCCACACCCCATGTGCCAGAGGTTAACCATTCCCTGGCCCGGGAGATTTCGCTGCTGGCAGTGGGGCTGGCTGATTTATCGAAGCGACTCCGAAGCCTTTCGGGTGTCTGAGCACAAGAGGGGGAACACAGATTGCGTGCGGGCTGCTTCACATGTCCCATCTCCTCTGAAAAGATACGAGGCGAAGGAGCCCTCTGGGGTTCCCTGCAAGGTGGCCAGCTTCACGCCTGCATGAAGAGCTTCCACCAGCTCCGCGCCTGCCCTCCCTTGCTTCCTGTGCCCCACAGGCCCCCCACCTGGGCTTGGAAAGGGGGAGGCAGTGCAGGCAGCTGGGCAGCCTGGCTCCTTGGCGGAACTGGTCTCTCCCCTAAGAATTGGGGAGGGCTCCAGGTTCCAGCGCCTTGGCAGAAACATGGATGTGTGTGCCCATTGCATGGATGAAGGCCCGCTGTTGAGCTCTCTCTTTGCAAAATTTCTCTTCGATGTTCTCATATAACCCCAGTCCTCTACCAGCTTCACTGGCTCCCCATTGAAGTCTGGGCCCAATTCAAGGTGCTGGTTATCACTTATAAAGCCCTTGATGGCTTGGGACCTAGATACCTAAAGGAATGCCTTCTTCCGTATCTGCCCTCCTGCCCCTTGAGATCGGCGGCAGAGGCCCTTCTCTGGGAGCCCTCCGTGAAAGATATTAGGAGGGTGAGTACCTGGAGGAGGGCCTTCTCTGTGGTGGCGCCCGACCTATGGAATGCGCTCCCCAGAGAGATCCGCCTGGCACCGTCGTTATTTGTTTTTCGGCACCAGGCCAAGACCTTTTTATTTAAACGCTATTTTAATTGTTGAATTTATTTATTGATGTTATATTTATGCCAGGATGTCTTCAGATTTTTATGTATTTGTATAGTTATTTATTTGTATTGGAAGCCACCCCAAGACTTTTGCGAATGGGGCGGCATATAAGTGTTCCGAATGAATGAATGAATGAATGAATGAATGAATGAATGAGGAAGGACGGAAGGAAGGACGGAAGGACGGAAGGAAGGATTTGGCCTTTTCTAGGCAGAGCTTTCTGTTCCCCCTGCCTACAGGCACCCACATTCCAGGGGCCTCCTTCCTCCCTTACTGCCTAGATCACACCAGCAAGTGGAAGAATCCCCTCCGTGTGCCTATGGAACATGAGGCCAGCGTGTGGGGATGCTGGTGGGAGATGCAGCCCAAGACAACCCCCACTCTGGGGGAAACAAGGGCAGAAGAAAAGAGAGCGGTTGTAGCCTCACGCTTTTCTGTTCGAGTCGGGGCTTGGGGCTTTCGCAAGCAACGCTCCCTGCATCTGTTTGAGTGCTAGTCTCAGCCAGGTATTGATTTCACTCTGAACGGAAACTGCAGGTGTTCTCTAACCTCGGCGACATTTAAAGCACAGCAGCTGCGAAGCTTCCTGTTTGCTGCTGAGCTATTTAAGGGGGCAGATGCCCAGCGGCCCTGGTGCCCCGGGAAGGGAGACTTGTTCCAGGCTGAACAAAATTGCCGTCCCCACGAGCGAAGCTTCCATGTGCAAGAAGGCTGCCCGTGGACGAGGGGTACTCTCTCTGGGAATGTTCCGTTAAAGCCTCAAGTCCCCATTCGTGCAAATTTGCTCCGAGAACCATAAAGTCTCCCTGTTTAATTTCAGAACGGCCAGCTCCTCCCAGGGAATTGAAAATCCCCCAATCGGAAGTGATGTCCCGAAGTTTACGGCTGCACTGGGTTCCTGGAAGTGACGGGTCTTCTCCAATACGCTACTTCACTGTGCAAACGAAGGAGCTGCCGGACGGTGACTGGCAAACTTATTCTTCCTCTGTCAGCCACGAAGCCACCTCCTGTACGATCGACAGGTATCACATCGACACACGGAGCAGAAAATGAAAGAAAGCATGATCGACTTTGACGCAGAGAGTGCCCAAGAGGCTCTTCCCACACCGTCCCACCCAGAAGCTAGTCCATATTCTGATAAGTCAGTAGGGAAGGAGATTTCTAGCTAGTCTCAGTGGGTGTGTAACTTGTTCTCTGCCGACATAAATCCCTCCCTTCCTCCAAAGTTTTGGGGACAGACCACAAGGTACAGCCCCCATTCTTAGTCAGACTCTGTGGGGAAAATCTTTGTTGGACCGAAGGACAAGACTTCAACTCCTTCAATAGATTTTCTCAGAAGGCAACTGGCAAATTTCTGTTTTTCTTACCAGCCATGCAGGAATTTCCAAACCACTGCAAAGTCCCCCTTTTTGGTTCCGTTGTTGAAATGTGTCCCCTCTATCCACAGAGATTCTGCCTCTGTGAGTTCCTTATCTATCTTGTTTTCAGATGAAATGAAGGCAATTTTATCTGCGTTGCCGTGCTGAGGAAAGAAGCGATAGCATCGCCCTGTTTAAACCGTGCTATCCGGCCTTCATTAGATTGTGCCGGAATTCAGATTTTTGCAGCAGTGGCTGCCAGAGCCACCCAGGACCTGCAAGGGGATTTGCCTGTTGTCCTTCATCTCCACCCTGCCCTCTGCATCAGCCACAACCCACAGTGGGAAACAGTGCTGCTTTGAAAATGCAGCTGGCAGTCTTTGAGAGAAGGCTGAGACCTGGGATACAGGTTTGGGGGATCGAATTAAGCACAATCTGCTGCACTTCTAAGCACGGTCTGGTATGGGGAATTGCTCCCTCTGGTGAAAGTCTTCGATAGCATTTTGCAATGCAGGAACAGATGACTGTTTCCATGGGCTCCCGTTTTCTTCTGCACGATTTGGTCCGGCCATCTCCTAACATCATTCACTGGGGTTGTTGTTGTTGTTAGAAGATGCATGTTGCACATTACGAATGCAGTGTATGTATGCCTCACTGGGTATCTGTGCCCTCGCAAGGGGGCCTCTGGGCCAGTGGGAGAGCGTGCGCCTGGCAGGCGAAGGTCCCGGCTTCTCCAGCTACGGCTAGAAAAGAACCTGCCGGCTAGATGGCCCGTGGGGCCGACTGGATTCAAGGCAGCTTCCGGTGTGGCTGAGCTTCCTAACATGTCTCACACGTGCATTTTTTAAAAGTAGTGTTTGTGAGGGTTAACCCCCCCTCCACCCCCCAGTACTTGTTACTGGTTGGGACACATGAACTGCTTTCTTGCATCTGGAGAACTAGGAAAGGCGGTGGAGCAGAAGTCTCCCATGTGCAGGTGGTTCGGGGGGGGTTGCTTGGGCCCCCCAGGTGCTGAGACTGCAGGTCCAAGGCACCCCTAGCCAGAGGTTGGGAGGCGACAGGCTGCCCCTGTAAAAAGCCCCCCCACACTGTCACTTTCCTGCGCAAGCAGGAATGCGTGGCGTTGCTTCACCCTGAATGCGCTGAACCTCTTGACCTCCAGCCTGCAGAGAGCCCTTTGCAGTCCTCCTATGAACTGGGGCTCATGCGCAACACACTCCGCTCATAGTCCATGGGCCTCTCATCCTGCCCAATGAAGAGGGGCCTGTCTGTCTGTGCCTTTCTCTGTTCTGTTTATTCATCCATTCTGTTTACATCAAAGCTTCCATATTCGTGTACCAAAAGAAATCGGTGGATCAGCAGTGCTCTCCCAGGGCATAAGGCCGGCTCATGAACGCAACCAGCTGCCTCTTCTTTCTTGCAAGCAATCGTTCCATCTCCTTCATGGGAAGAAATGTCCCGCAGGAACCCAAAAGCGACTCTTCCGCTGCAGTTTCCACACCTGCACAGTGCACGTGTGTGTGAACCAGAGCAGCCTGGCCTCATTCCCCAGGATCAGCACTGCCGCAACTCCCAAATTCCCCGACCCTAAGAAGACATTTGTCCTCTCTTCCAGAGCACACCGCCCCCCCGGGCTTCCCTCGAAGCAATTGAGCATGCTGACCCTCATGCTGTGCTTCATCCCACCGTGTTTAATCGCCCGTCCCCAGCCGTTTTATCTGTATTGCTGGTTGGCCCTACAGGACCAAGCCTTGGACTGACTTTAACCGATTAATTAGCTAAGCCTATTATATGAGACTCCGAACTCCTGCAGACCTTGTTAGTGGCTCAAAGGGGAGCGTCCCCCAGCGCTGCCATAAGCTCTGCTGAAGTTGCCTCAGCTGGAATTCAGTCTTTGCATATCTTAAAGTCACTGAGTACACAGAAAACCTGCAGGGATTCCCCTGTCACTGTCTGCGCTAAATAAGCTGAGTAACCGTATTAGCTGGGAATGCAAGAGCAGCGCGAAGGAGCATTCTGGCAATGCTGCCTGGAGGCTTATCCGAGACGCTGGGAAGCCCGCTGTCCCTCCGGCTCTCCAGTTGCCCTTGGATAAATCCACCGATATCTCCCGTGTAGGTGGCGGCAGTGGCTGATACGGGGTCACAGCAAGGAATTTTGCACGATTTTGCAAGGAGGAGCATCCCTGGCCCTCAAGGAGACCGGGACCTCTGAGTGTGTTCTTGCTTTTGGATCTGAACTTCTAGCCAAACCCTACAGGGCTATGTGTGGACACTGATGAACAGTGTTATCGTATCTGAAAATTAAAAAGTTGTGAGAATCCGCCCCCCTCATCTCAAAGAAACTCCTGGGAACAGCCTGAGATAATCTTGAACTAGAAGCAGAAGTTTAAATGGTTCACCCATTGGCAGTAGCAGCAGCAGCAGTAGCAGCATCTGAATTCTTTAATTTCTTTTCTTACCCTCTAACCTGTTTCCCCGTGGAGAGGTTTGGAGTGTGAGTGGCACCCTCAGGTTGGGAAGAGCCCGTATTTTGAGTGATGCCGCTGCAGTGCTGACAAAATGCACACAACTCCATGAATCCCAGGTATTCCTGTCCTGATGAGGGATTGCACACTCCTGAACTGCATGAAGAGTTTTTCGGAGCCAGGGGCAGGAAAAGCAGGCTCTCCTGTTGGCTTGAGCTGAAAGGAAGGCAGCCCGGGCACCCCGAGCCATGCTGCGCTGTTCTTTCGTGGCCAGGAGTTCATGAAACAGGCAGCTGGAGGCTGCGGTGGCGAAACAGGCCTTTAGCACTGTTCTGCTCACTCTTCCGTTTTGCAGGCTGAACCCCTTCACGTCCTACAAGCTGCGCCTGAAGGCGACCAATGACGTCGGGGACAGCGACTTCGGGGCTGAGACAGAAGCCGTCACTACGCTGCAAGACGGTAAGGCCTGGGATGAGCAGCCAGCTTGGGGGGCAAACGGAGGGCGGTCCCGGGCGCAAGGCCGTTCCCCGGTTCCTCCACCCCCACCATCGCCCACTGGGATCAGAGGGCTGTAAGACACACTCCTAAGCCCCCTCTCATACGGTTGGCATAGTTAACCTCCTCCATAGTCGGCCTTCCTACAGCACCTCCAGATAATGTATCTTGCTGTCAGGAGCCTCCAAACTGAATTAAGCCCTGTTTGATTGCCTTCCAGTTTCTATGCTAACTAACCATGATCTTTCCTGAAATTGAATAATTTACCAAGGAACATTAAAAATGAATGTGGAATTGAGCGTATGTTTGCTGTACTTTTTCGATTGTTTTCATTCGAGATCCACTTCTCGGCTGCAGCAGTACTAAGTGGTTGAACGAGAGAGAAGGAGAGAGAGCGAGAGAGAGAGAGAGAGGCCTGCAGGTCCAGCAAGCATAAACATTTTAGCCTGCCAGTTGGTACGGACAAAAAGCCATTTACGACTGCGATGTGCATTTTGTGTCCAAGATTAGCATGCGGTGCTTTTGTTCCAGGTAGAGGAAGTCAGTAAGAGGGCTCAGTTCTGTCTCCCTTAGGATGCCCTTATGCGCACACAATCTTCCCTGTTCGATGCCACATGAATAAGTCACGGCTGGGGTTCTAGAAGTGCAACCCTGTCAAGACTAGGAAGGCAGAAACCCGGTTATCTTTAGAGAAGTAGATTTGAGGGCGGGGGAGGAGTTAGGCAGGGATCCTGGCCAAAAGCAGAGTAATAACCCGGCAAAGCAAAGAAGAAAGCAGAGCAGCCTGATGGGCACTGAGCCTTTACTCATGAGAGACTTCAAAAACATGCAAAAGATTCAGAAACATGGCAATACTTTAATGCACGTTGTGTTGCTCTCTGGGCACATCGAGTATCTCGTATAGAACGACCTGTTGATTTGGAGTTGATAGGAGTGGGGAACATTTATGTAAACCAGCCCTCGCTGATGTAAAGAGGGCCAGGATCACATTTTTCTCTGGGATCAAATATCTTTCTGCCCAGGGTGTATCAGTTAGATCCCAATCTGCAGGACTGCACAACCAGGCCCATGGGTCTGCCATGGCAGCCCCACATCCCATGGGCCTGGGGTCTGATGGTGTTGAAAAAAGCAGATGAAGGAATGGAGAGCATCCACTGCTCCATGCAAGAAAGAAAAAACCCTTGCCAGGACCTGGTCCAGGTGCTGGTTCTGTGAGAAGCTACACCTTGAATTTCAGCCTTATCTTTAAGGTCCCAGTGCTTCTCTCTCTCGCTCGCTCGCTCGCTCGCTCTTTGTGCAGCAGATTTGCACAGCTGATGTTCTGGAACTCATTCCCATGAATTCCAGGTTGTTCCCCCTCACACACACCCTTTCGACTGAGTTTTAAAGAACCCCTTGGCCCCCATGCAACAAAAGCAATTAACTAAAAGCAGCAAACTCGGGGGATTTATTTTGCCAAGCAAACCCGTCGCTGTAGTGAAGCGTTTTCCTGGGGAAAGCTGGGGAGAGACCGATAAGCTTCCTCAGCTTTGTCCCTGGTGCAGCCCGTGCATTTCCCGCACAGGTAGGATAGCTGCCGGAAACAGGTGTGGGTGGTTGGGCCTGGGGGTGGGGGGGAGAAGTCCCTTGTCCACCCCTGTTTCACCGTACAGCAAAGCTGCACCGCAGCAGGAAGACGCATTTGCAGGCAGAATCAACTTTCTGCTCATGTCTCACTTTGCTTTCTGCTCTCTCTCTCCTTCCCTCCCTCCCTCCAGTTCCAGGAGAACCACCCAGTTCGGTGTCCGTGCTGCCTCACACAACGTCCTCTGTTCTCGTGCAGTGGAAGGTTAGTAGAATTTAAAACCCTAAAAGAGTGTTCTGGTGGCTCGGAGCACAAGGACACCTTCTTTCGGCTACAGGCACTGGAGAGATGTCATAAATAATAATGACATCAGGCAGATTCATCGCACGTGCCAGTTACTCCTGGGGGGATGCTACATTTCCTTGTCCCATTATGTCCTGCGGAAAGTCCCAAGCAAAGTCTGAGCATTTGCAACAAGGGTCGATATGTCAAGACTGCCAGGTTGTGCTAACGGAAAGCAGGCCAGTCCGGGAGCTGAACCCCCCAGGAGAAGCTTCTAAGCAGTTTAGGATGGGGAAGAGCTGCACAAGGCGGCGAGCCAGCAGTGGCCAGGGGAAAGAGTCCCTGGAGGGTTGGATCGGGACCCCTCAGAGGCCAGAGTTGGGTTTGGGGCCGGGTTTCTGACCGATAGCCATAGATAGCTCTGTAGGCCTGAACGGGTTTCGTTTACTCTTCCCCGCTGACCCCTCCCAGGCGTCTCTGGCTCCAGCCAAAATCTACGGGAGACTGCTCTCACCTGAGCCCCAGCATTCAAGGTTTCCCCAAGACCACAAAGCACAGTCTCTTCCCAGGTTGGACGAATGTCCCATCGCTGCCACTCCTGCATCTGTTTCTTGCAGTGGGACACAACCTGCATGGAAGAGCAGCGCAAGGAACACCCCTTTCACTCCACAGTCACACTCTCCACTATAAAACGCTGCACAAATGCGGAGCGTGTTTCCCGTTTTCCCCCAAAGAGCTTTGCATATAGGTATCAATCAGTGGCCAACGACTCCGTCAATCATACTACTACAATCATACATACTACAATCATACAATCATACCGAGCAGAAATACGCACAGAGAGAACAATGGCATGCGCAGGGACAAAGGCCGATCCTGTTGATGGATTCGGAGGGGATAATGAATGTGAAATAGGTGGTAGTTTAGATAATTGGGTGCTTTTTATTTCATGGAAACCTAATAGGATAGTTGCACCCGAGCCACATCCAGGGAATTGAAGGCAATTACGTGTCATTATGATACTTATCTTATTTGGGTGCTGAGCTATTTAGACACACTATAGTTTTCAATTAAAAATATAAAATAAGTGTATACTCTAGCTAAACGCTTTGAAAGTACCGCTGAAGCAGGAGTTCCTGTGCAAGGTGACGTTTTAAAGCTCTGTTGAGGAACGTGGAAAGCTGATTTCGATGCTGAGGCTTTAAGCTTCTCAGCTCATTGTAACCTTAAAATGAACGGAGGCTGCTGCATCGAAGAAACCACCAATTCTGTAGTTCAGGACTGATTTCCACATTCCTTTTGGCACTGAAGTTAACTTGAATGCTTTGTTCTGGTCTATTTCCGCCTTTGATCCAAGAATTTGTCCAAATTTCACAGTGTAAACAAATTGTTGTTATCCTTTCTCCAGCTCTCGCTGCCTGCCACTCACAAACATTCTGCTCCGCCTCTGCCCTTCCTCTGGGCTTCTTTGAGAAATAGATGGAAAATCCTAAATAATCCATTACATCAAAAGCTGAGTTTTGTCCATGAAAGACAGATAAGAGCAGGATACCCTGACCTTTCAGTAAAGTGCTTTTTCCAAGGCAGGTGTATGATTATCAAGGCAAAGAGGAGAGATTCTGTGCCATTTATCTCCTAGGCCTCTTTGTGCCAGGTATCTTAATAGCTTTTGATTCCGATATGAGATTCAGGCTCCGGAGAGAATCCAACTTGCTGCCTTTGAATAGGGACCTGGTGTGAATCAGGAAGCTTTTATAAAGGGCAAGGAGAAAAATAATTTGGAGAATGCTATGGAAGCCTCGTTATCAGAACTCTGATTATCTCAAATGACTAGTTAATTGAATTGGCCATGCATCCCCTCACATAGATTCCCATCAAGACAGACCTGTGTAAACAGCTTTCGTTCTTATTCTGATTCCTAACTAACCAAATGTTGTGGATATTTCCCAGGACATTGAAAAATTTGGCCTCAGGCAAATGACATAGCTCTGCACCAAAGCATGTTATTTTCAAGCTTCCTTGAAGACTTACCACCACCCTCAGTCTAAGTTTAGGGCACCTAAAATAACAATGCAAGAACAGGAGGCCCTGAGATGATATCTTCCCGGTGCTTTGGTTCCCTCGGTGTTGTGCTGTGACGCTTCTGCTGCATACCCATTGAGGTTCTCCTTGACACATCCCCATGTGAGGGAGGAAAGGCAAGAAAGGACGGCAAGTTCTCTGTTCAAGGAGCCCTCGCTCGATCTCCTGACTTGGGGAATGATGGCCCTTTCTCAAACTTGGCATTACTGGCCAAGGAGGGTTGGGTGAAGCCCTGAGATATGGGAGGAAACAGGTTTTCAGTCTGGCTTATGAATGGGATATGGAATGGAAGCCCCTTTGGGTGGCATCCTGAGTGATGGCTTAACAGCAGCGAGGCACCTGCCCCTGCTGGCTTTCCGGGGTCTTCCTCCGGCTTTGGGATCCTAGTGGCAACTGTTCTTCTGGACCACTCCTGTGGGTTCCTTGCTCTTCTGCACCTGTCCGCTACTATCTCGTGGGATAACTCCAGAAGATGCAGCTGGGAGAGCGCAGCTCTTCTCTGTGAATGCTCTCCTTCCAAACGAATCCACTGGAGTTCAAGGCGTTCAGGGAGAGAATTCCTTGCAATATCCTCCAGGAAAGTGGGAGGGAATTCTCAGGTCACATCCAAGTTCTTGAGCTGCACGTAGGCATGGACGGCACTGAGGAACTCACTGACCCGAGAGCCAAAAGCCAAGTAGGTGGGGGTGGCAGGGTTACAGTTCACACATTAAAAGGAGGCCACGATTCATGCATTGTGGTTGTTAATAGCAGGGAAATTTGCATAAAGAAGAGACACAATTTGCACAAGATATACGTAGCTGCAATTTACCCAATTGGCAGCCCTATTTATGCAAATTTATTTATTTAAAACTTTTCTATACCATCCCTTCACAGACGTCTCAGGGCGGCTTACGACAGATGAATACAATAAAATAGAAATAGAAATAAGAGTAAACAGTTGCACGGCATCCGACGTTAAAATATAAAACCGCTAAATAAAACGGGTTAACAGTTAAAATACTGGGAGAATAAAAAGGTCTTCACCTGACGCCGAAATAAATGGTGGCCATCATTTACATAGATCTCTCTGTCTTTAGAAGAATATGCCAATCAGGGCCTACTCTAAAAGCGGAGGACTGTGTGCCAACACTAGGTAGGTGGGTCAGAATCTGGGGGGCTGAGCTGGGCCAGTACTAGCCAGAGCTGTGCCCAGCCTCCTTTCTCACGCAGGAGCGGGTCCTTGCTGCTCCCCGCAGCTGGTGCACTCCCCGAGTGCCGTTGGCATACCCTTGCAGCCCGAGGAGTCTTGGATCTCCTCTTCCAAGCCCCCTTGGCTCTGTAAGAGAACCCAGAGCGCGCTTCTTCGATCCTACGCGGCAGCCTGACCCCTCGCACAACCCCTTCCATATAGCCGTTTCATCTCAAAACAAATCCAGCTGCATGGCTCTTTCGGCACTTGACGTAAAGATTTGAGTTGTACCTCACCTAATCTGTTTTTAATGGGAACGTCTTGCAGCCTCCAAAAGCCGAGAGCCTGAACGGCCTCCTCTTGGGATATCGCATTTATTACCGGGAGCTGGAATACGAAAGCACAGGACCAGGGCCAGAATCCAAAATCATTAAAAACCCATCAGCTTTACGAGCGGAGCTTACACGTGAGTAGTCAATGGATTTTGTTTATACTATTTTAATGCCGTTTGATTATTTGCCACCCACTCAGTCTGCAGTGCGGGGGGTGGGGGTTGCTTTAGAAGAGAACCTGAACTATTTAATGTTTGCATGAAGACGGGCAGATGTTACAAATGGTTAGTCCCCAAAGTTCACTCTACAACTGGCTGATAGATTTATGATCTATCCGCTGGCCCTTTTCTCCCTCTTTTCTTCCTCTCGATCTACCCCACCCTCAACGGTGTCCTGCTTTCTTCCATACCTATCGGGAGGCGATGGGAGTAAATTAATAGGCTCCATGGACTTGCAGGGGAGAACAAAGGATGAGGAAGAAAAGACGCCTCTGTGCCAGAGAATGACCACAGTACCTGTGCCAGGTGGCTGGCTTCCGTGTGAAGCAAATGCCACCCCCATCTGGAATTTCAGGGCTCTCCCGGTGTGCGCATGTCCGTTTCTGTGCCTGTGTGTCCCTATTCAGTCCCTGTAACACATCTCCTGCATGTTCTGATACTGAGGATACAGCCGGATCCCAGGGAGCTGTCTTCCTGCGCCAGCTTCCCCCAGGCTTGCTTGCTCAATGACTCCGTGTTTTACGTTCCCTCATACTGCCTGTTGATGTGGTTTCTCCATGAGGCGAGGAGGCCCAGCAAGCCCTCGTGACGGATGCTCTTCTGGTGCGCTGTCTGGGAAGCGAGGCAGCCTTTACTGCCCGGTCAAGGTGCGCCCCTCATGCTGGAAGCTGCCTGCGTGCGCCCCCATCATCCCCCGTCGCCAGGGCCGTGCATCATTTGCAATAACTGTTTCCCTCGCGCTCTAACAACTTTCTGCTTTGCTTACCCCGAATAGCCCAAAGCAGCTTCAAGACAGTGAACAGAAGCTCTGTCTTAACGACGTATGAATTAACACGTAAGTCCACATGCACACCCAGCAGGTGTTCAGACGCAGCACTTTGTAACGCCCGAGAATGTGGAAGCTCCCAGTAACCTTTTCTCCCACTGGGGCAGCGGGGAAACTGTTCAGTTCATTGTCCTACTTCCCTGCTTTCTTCCCTGTTTTATTTTTTAGCATTGATGACAGAAGGAGGTTATTCCTTCCTTTTTTATTATCATTCATAGCATTATTATTCATTGCATTTCTACACCACCCTGCAGCTAAAACTCTCTGAATGAGTCACAGCATTAAGTCACCCATCTAGATTTCAACCAGGCCTGACCCTGTATAGCTTCCAAAATTAGGCAGGATCAAGCACTTCAGGCTATAGGGAAGTCGCATATTGTTGTTGTGTTTTATGCTGCTGTGTATATATTGTTGTGTATTTCACCAAAAGAAAATTAAGCAAAATGAAACAAAGGAACAAAAAAAGAAGCGAAAAGAAAGAAATAGGGAGAAGCTAAAATTAACAAATGAAACAGGAAGAGGAAGAAGATATTCGAATAACAACACAAATCCTAATGTATCAATCATGCACACGTTTCAACAAAGGCAGGCCAAATATCTGTATCTTTCTCCATCCGAGAGTGGAATCTGAATGTTATGGTGTAGATATTGAAAGACTGTTAAGTTTCGAGTCCCTCTGGGTTGCAGGAGGAGAACTTTTCAGTCAGTATCAGTCTTTTAGCTGTCAAAAGGCATGGAAGATCCGTTTTCACTGACCAGGTTATTTATCAGGTAAATAATTTAGAAGCGCACGTGCATCAGAAAATATCAAAGGCTATTCTAACACAATGTTTATCTGTATCATCACTCCCAACCCTACAGACACAGCTCTTGGGCATTTTTCATCCCCATCTCCCCCGCTCCCCCCATTTTAGCAAAGCATAGCTGTTGATTCATACAGATTGGTAGGCCGGACCACAAAATGCCTTCAGGTGTGCTAGATCCACCTTTCCCAGGACATCAGATGTGTTTTTATGTAGCCTGACCACATCTTTCCTTTCTGTATCTGAATGCTGAGAAGGCTCAAGCAGCTGGGCTAGCGCAGGGCTTTTCTCCCCCTCTTCCTGTTCCTGCTTCTTGACCAATAAAACAGCTGCAGGCAAATGTACGGGGCAAAAAAATGCAACTATCCAACCAGTACAAGTTTAAAATCAGGAAGGCACACTAATTAGAAATCCAGGTGGCCCTCTCTAGAACCATCTTCATTCCCAGTGACCTGCCTGAGGCTGAAGGTTCCCCTGTCGGCTGTGTGGGGGACCACCTGGTCCTTGCGATTCCCCACCATGGCAACAGATGGACAGTGAGTCCACAAAGCGATTTTCCTCTGCCGTTCTTGAGCACACGTCTCCCTGGCTGACCAGCCAACCTCCCTTTTTCCACTGACATTGCAAGCGCTCGCTCTGCCCAGTTTGAGCCAGAGGCCTTGTTCTCCTGGGGGACAACATTTGCGTTTGGGGTAACTGCTTGCCCTCCTCAGCTCCCTAGGGCTCAAGGCCACCATTTCCAGCTGAGATTCCCCTTTTCTTTCGCCCTCCGATAACGCTCCACTTCCGGCCCTCTTGAATTTGTGTGAACTCACCCCACCAGGCGAGGCATCCCCATCTCCATACCCTGGTGCACGGTTCCCGGTGGACCGAGATTCCATGGCATGGCATTGTGCCTTTCCCTGGCACATCAGCTTCAAAACTGATCATGTCCCTTTGCAACAGCAAAAGCACGTTCTTGTGTATGAACTGGCAGGGGCGTCAAGTTCCCATAGAATGTCACTTTCCTACAGTATATCCAAAAGTTTTATTTATTATACTGACCGACTGTAGGTCATAAATCAGATCCTGTCAGCTGCCTATCTACCTGAAACCAGCAGGCAACACACGGGTCTCTGATTCAGAGATGTGGGCGGGATACTTGTAAATACTTCAGGAACTCTGAAATTAGAAGGGTTATTATAATCCCAGTGACCACAGCGTCACCGATGCTAGAAGGCCACCTTGCATGTAGCAGGAAAACTGATTTGCAAGTAAAGAGCCTTTGAGTGGTGCCTGCGCAATTTTGTGATATTTCCGACCCAGCTGCCAGAATGTAATTTGCTGGTGCCCTGTCCCCGGATGATCAGCATTCTTTCTAAGATAGGTGGCCTGATTTGAATATGCAAATCCTAGAAATGCAAGTATCCAGAGGCCTCTGATGGCGGGTGCAGGGATGGGCCCCTCCTCCTTATCATGGCTTCCGATATTCTTCACACTGAAGCGTTTTCCCTTTTCCGTTCTCCCTCGTTTCTTCCTGCTCTCCTTTCGTCCCTGCACCAGCCAATGCTAGCTCCCGTGCCTGAGCTGCCCTGTGGCCCAGCACGGCGGCGGTGAATTCAGATGCTCTCCCTGGTTTTGTGTGTTCTGCAGCGTTCAAGCTGGGATTACGGGGGGGGGGGGGCAAATCCCCCCCCCCCCACCAAAAATAGGACTTGATGTTTCCAGTTCTCGGCCAGTTGCCCATAGCCCCAGAACCTCTGGGAATGGGTCCTTGTGCATCCTGCTCTTGGGTCACATTATTAGGAGCCGGGCCCTCCTGGCTGAGAAGGGGTACTTCTTAGACCATGGGTCTCTCTGGGCTGGCCTCCCGTGTGCCAAGCACATGCCTCCAAGACCTGCTGGGCTGGGAGCGACCCGGGTTCATCCAGTCTGGCCTTCTGCCAGTGCCAAAGGTCTCCTGCTGCCGTGTTCCTGTTAGGGACCTGCAGACATGCCCGGGCCCCGCGTTGTCTTTCCAGCAAACTGCCCCCTGGCGTGGAGGCCCCATTTCGCAAGGCGTGGCCGGACTCCATCCTCTCCCTCCCACGGCGTTACCTGATGGCCTCCGTAGGCAGTCTCAGCCAATGGCCAGCACCACCTCTGGTGGGCAGCAAAGAACACAACAGGTCATGCATTGCGTGAGGAAGAGGAAGAAATGCTCTCTGGCTGCCCAGGATCCTTGGAGGAGCCCGAGATGCATATAGACTTGTCTCCAGCCGCTTTCCCGGACCGTGTACAATTCTGTAAATATGCATCACGCTCTTCTGTAGTTGCCTTTTTTCCAAACTAAGATTGAGAGAGAAACAGATCAAAAAGTATAGCTCAGCTTTCCTCTAAATGGATTGCAATGAAAACCCCCATTATTCAATTTTTCAATTCAATTCAATTTCTGAGCTGAGAAGGATTAGAGCTGTAGTCCCGGATATGTGGAGGGCACCGAGTACAGAGGACTGCTTCAGCCTTTCCTTGTAAGGAAGGTGGTCAAGCCCTCTAATCGTTTCAGTTGCCCCCTTCTCTCCCCTGATTCTGGGAATGGTAGCTGTATCCAGGATTCTCTCGGACTGGCTACTCCAGGCTTACCCCAACTCACCTTTCCCACAGTGGAAAGAAAGCCCCAACAGGCCACTGGGCATAAAAGCAAAACAATAGTTCTTCTGGTAGCTCAAACGGCCTCTAGACCATCACCGTCGACACTAATTAAATGCTTTGCCATTTGCCCACTTTCCTTTGGTTCGCTGAGGGCCTTTAATTGCAACGCTAAAGATGCTGCTGGCTTCTGACCCGACTATTTACCTTTGCAGAGCTGAAAAAATACAAGAGGTATGAAGTGGTAATGACAGCATACAACATCGTCGGGGAGAGCCCCGCCAGCGCGCCAGTGGAGGTCTTTGTCGGTGAAGCTGGTGAGTAAGCTGGGTGCCAAAATCCTGAGGCTCTCGCTTGCGTGCTCGATGCCACAGGGATCCTTCTGAAAGCAGGGGCAGCTTGGCCGAGCGGACACAGAGCCCACGGTGGTTGTCTCGTGCCCCCTGTGTGTGCACACACAGACGTCTCACACTTGCAGGGATGGCGGAGAAAAGGCTTGTAGGCATCTAGGTGGCTCTTCGTAAATGACCCGGTAAATGTGTGGACATTAGAAGGCCTCTGGCTTTAGAGGGTGGACGAGCAAGCGCATTCCTCTGATCTGTCGGCGGGGAACCAGTGCGGTGCGGCAGCCAGAAACCGGACCCTGACCACAGGAGCCAAGGTCCAGGTTCTGCCAGCCAACAGGCCAAGAGCCCATGGCTGCGCTCAGAAAGGGCGGACTAATGGTTTACAGCAACACACTTTGCTCAACTCATGCTAATATCTTTATAAATCCATTAGAGGATAAAGCCATTCTGTGAAAAATTGTTTGCAGGAAAAGCAGAACGGCAATAGTACCGCACCTATTACCATCTTGCAGCTTCATTTTCTTTGCAGGCTGTTGCAAGCTTAATAATAAAGGCCGGTGGGGGGGGGGGGGCGATGAAACAAGTACCCCGCTGAGCTCCTTGCAAGAAGGGTAGGATGGACATGTCGCATTTGTATGAATGAATGGCTTCCACACATGGAGGTTTGCATTTGACCAAACTCAAGCCGCTGGAATCAATGGAGGCTGGGTAGAAACCCAGAGGATCTGGCTAATATGCAATTGAAATACTATTTGGGAACCCCCCTTGAGATTAGTCTCTTCGTTTCACTGGGTGTTTTGGATGTTCTTCAGATCCATTTGATCCTAGAGCAGGACAGCTGTGTCCCGACGGGTTCGCCTCCCTGGTCATTCAAGCACTGGCTCAAACCCGGAAAAACATGTGATGCTCCAAGAGAGCACAATCTGCACAAGAGATATCGTGGCTTTCCAGGTGTTGAGCATCTCCCTGTTTCTGCAGCCTTAGGCAGGGATTTCATCAAACTGCTCTCCGACTGCTGACATGTGCCTTGAGAGCTGTGTTCATTCCGCATGTCTGACACAACTCCCGTCACGCACGTTTTCACTTGTCAGGTCTTCTAAACATGGGTCTCCTTCCGGGCTGCGGGAGAGTTTCTTTCCCCAGCAGCTGCCTTCCTCCAGCTTTGCCTTACTGAGGGAGGGGCCTGCCTTAGATTTGATCTATGCTCTCAGCTGGTACAACTCCATCTTCTTTCACCTGTTACCCTGGCATTTCATATTTAACATGCAAAGGTTTCATTTCAGATCTGGAATCATTTTATTACAAATTCATTAAATTCGAGATGTCTTGGGCCTTGGACAAGCTATTAGCCCTTCCTGACCTTTTCATTTCAAACATCACTGTAATGTTCTGTTATCTTTCCCTAAAACTCACTAAATTAATCACTGTGCCCTCTCAGGGTTGCTTTGGAGCAGTTCCTACTGCCGTGGTGTCATTCGTATCACCTTCTTGCTAGCCTGCCTTCCACATGTAAAAACATAAAAAGACGGCGACACAAACATCACTCTACATATGTTGAGCAGCAAACGCTCTGCTTTGCAAACGAACGTTTCAAGTTCTTACTAGTTCACATGGTTGCTGAGCGTCGCTTTCCCAAGTACGAACCAACCTGGGATTAAAGATCAGTTAGGGGGGCTTTGCTTGTAGTGCCTTGAAGAGTGTCACCCACATGACAGGGACTCCTCGGTGATGGCACCCTGACTCTGGACTTCCTTCTCTCCTCTACACGGTGTGATTTTAAAGACATATTTAATTGTACAATGGGACCTCAGCAACTCAAAATCCAAGCAGTAAAGAGGCGGCCTCCTTGCAGGGAGACTTGGTTCAACTCCGTTTAGACTGGGCGGCGGCTGCTCTGCTTTCTTTCTTACCGGGCTTGCCAAGTACCAGGAGCGTCCAAAGGGAGCCACGCAACACCGTTGGCCGTCCCTCCACTTTTCACTTTGTGCAATCATTTAACAGCCTTGATTGGAAAGCAACACAGCTTGGCTGCAGGAATTAATTCAGATCCACAGGCGGTTTGCTTCCAGAGGCAGCCTTCGCCCTGCATGAGACACGAGCAAGCACGTCTGCTTCTTGCTTCCTGGCTGTGGTGCTGGGGAAGGTGACAGCCGATGCACAGAAATTCAGAAGACATCACAGGCATGGGGTTCTCTTTCTTCCCCTCATTTAGGGAGGTGAATAAAACACAAGCCGGCAGCAGAAACCCTCCCCGAACAAGCTCCTGTGCTCCTCCGGTTCTCTGCTGTCCTGGAGAGCTCCTTTGGTGGAAATATAATGGAATACGTAATGTCTGAAGCAGGTGTGTTTGTGTAAGGTGAAAGAGGGAGGTAGAATCGCACGGGGAGGCACCTTGCTTCCAATGAAATGATAAATGCTCTGGGCTGAAGGAGACGGCAAGAGTGACACATGTCATTATGACTGATGATGACACTGACCGCCTTCACACTTCACAGGAGCTGATGCAGCTGGAAAACTCTCCCCTCCGCTTTAATTTTTTAAAGAAATTAGAAGGTGCTCCAAAGGTGGCTTCAGTAATGGGCACAGGAAGAGAGTGGCTGGAGGAAAGTGGCCCCAGCATTTGGTTCCTGCTATGCCTGTCTCGTTTCCTTTCGGGAAAGCCAGCTCCGCTCTCTGCTCTCTTCCCCCTGGGCAAGCTGCCCTCTGTCCCCTCTCCAGGCTGTGAATTTGCTTCTTTGCTCCTGTTCTGAACAAGCCAGAAGCAAACCTGTTTTCCCACTGCTAACGGTAATTATTTCCCATTGCTTCCCTGCTGGCACTTAGCACATATGTCCCCAGGAATGGCTGAACCTATTATTTCCCGTCAGCTGTTCCCCCACCTGTGTCTGAAACATTGGTTGCTCATCCCAGAAGGCGTTGTTCTCCTGACAGCTGCAGCGGGAGCAACAACTCTGGAGTTTTGGGGGTGGGCGGTGGAGGGGGGGCACTGGATTTTAACTGGCATGCTAGGAACAAGGAGAGGGTGTGCGGAGGGGACACACTGGCGACTGAGGAAGTGGCGTTCCGACAAAGAGAAACAGATGGAACCTGGCATGGATAGTGGTTCTGGGTAAGAAAGAATTTCGGAGAGAACACGACAGTGCAGGCACCTGTCTTCTTTGAGCCTGGTCAAACTGGAACCATTCCCGGCTTTATTTCGCGTGCCAGAATCTACTGGATGCTGGTGCTTTGCCAGTTCCTATACATCGTATAGATCCTTGGAATCCAGCAGAGAATTCGCTTTTCTGAGACCGAGAATCTCTCCTTTTAGAGACATCAAATAAATGTTCATGGAGAAAGCCTAAAGAATAGGGCAGTCATTTTGAAAATCGGGGTTGAGGGGTGAGCCGTGCGATGTATCCACCCTCCTCGTGTCCCACCACCCCCTCTTTCAGCCCCCACACAGGCCACCGGCAATTCTCATTGGCTGAAGAGGCTTTGCCTGGCTAGGTTGCATCAATCCCACTGACGTGAAGGTAGAAGCAAGACAGCGCACCCTTGTCAAAGGGCCGCCTTTTCTTCATTGCTCGTTGCCCAAATATTCTGAGTTCTGTACAAAATCCAGACACTGCCAAGGTGAGAAAAATGTTGCCCATGGAGTGCTTTGCCCTGCGTTTGCGGGCGCAGCTGAATCCACCTGAGAGACAGGACTGCCCGAACCTCAAAGGAATCCACTCCCAGATTGCGCCGCATTTGTGTAAAATCTCTCTTATTCGTATATGTACATCCAGTGCCACTTCCATGGATCGTGAACCCGTAGACGGAGGCAACAAATCCCCCTTGTTTTGGAGTTTGGACAGTAGACAGTCTATCTATTTATACCATGCACCTTATGCTGGTATCATGGATGTGTTAATTTTCTCTCCGTCACTGAATTCTGTACAGCAGAATCAGGCAAGATGAAAAATAACGTTAAAAAGACAAATATCAAACCTTTTCCTGGTTGGTTGGTTGGTTGGTTGGTTGGTTTCCCCCTTACCTCTCTCCTTACTTTGTTTTGGCTGGCATGTTTCTTTCAGTCCATGTGAAGGTGTGGGTTCACGCATCATCATGTTTCAAGGAGGCACATGAACGCAACGCTTCTGTGGTCAACAGCATGTCTGTAGCAAGATGGCCCATGGCTGTTACCTTTGCAACGCAGTGGAGGGACGCCCTGATCACATTTGAAGGCTTCAGAATGGCATTCTCGCAAGCCCGTGAAGGCTGTGGTCCAGCCCTGCAAGTGGAAAGTGACCAAACTGAAGTGGGAAACAGAAGCTTTTATTTATTTATTTATTTATTTATTTATTTATTTATTTAAGCGCCCCCCCTCCCCCCCCCCCCCCCAGATTCTGCTGGCAGAGCAACTGAATCTTCCACAGGAGTCATCAACCCTTACAATGAAACACTGAGTAAGGAAAAATGTCCAAATTGAGATGTATGTTGGATTGGCTTATCATCTGCCCGTAATTCTCCATTGGTAAGGCAGAAAATGCAGGGAGATAATTTGCTCCGGTTTCATCATACTGAAGCAGCTGACTGAGCGCCTCATTAACAGCTCATTAAGCTGTTAATATTACTCATAAGCAGTTCTCGTATGACTCAGTGTGTTGCATAGCATGGCGGCGGCTCCTTGTTTAATTCTTAGCAAAGTGCCTTGCTTTATCATGTTGTGAAGTTGGAAGGAAGCACACACTTTGCCTTAAAAAAAAAAAAAAAAAAAAGCCCTTTCCTCATGGCCCACTGATCTACTTGACAAAAATCAGCAAGTTCCAGGCAGACCAGCTTTTTGGCATCCTGTCGGGAATTTCTCTGCTTGGCTTGGCGTGGGGGGATCCAGTGCCCAGGACCTTTGGCACGGCGGTGATGGCTCCAGGCTCCTTGGCCCCTTCCCTTCCGGATCGTGCTCTGTTCTCGCCCACTCATGAGCCCCCAGGCTCCAAAGCTACGGG